AGGGCTGCCTTGTCCAACTTCTGAGGGCCTACATGTCAAAGATTATTAATAAGTATAAACCGTTAAAAACCATATCTGTATAAATAATACCAACAAAAGTATTATATTAATGCGTAAATACTAACAACATAAAGGATAACAATAATTTACAAGGTTAATACCATAAGCGTTAGTCCGACATAAACCATATAAGATAGTGGTGTGTTGTTCAAAATGTACTTTACATTTGGCAACCACACTTTCGAAACAACACGAGTTTTTCCACCGATATTGGCCCTAACGACGTCAAAGTAATCATAGGCCTTCTGTTATTGAGGGCCAAGCTCTCTCTCGGCAATATGGCCGAAACGAGGATGAGGCCGAAAGAAAGTTCTCCTAATAGGAAAATCTTCCGGAACACTCATGAAAAAGAACTTATCATGCCAACCTTTACAACTTGACAACTTAGGGTTTACAGTGAACTTGTGAGAGGCCGTATACAACGACCAACAACCCTCAGATTGTCCATCACGTTTCAAAGTTATTAACCTCCTAAACAAGTTCAGGGTTAACGGAAAATTTTTATACAACAAAACCCAAACCAGAGCAATAACGACACGAATAGTAGGAGGAGTAAATTGTACCAGGCATACATTCCATGCCTTAAAAATTTTAGCAATTAAAGGATGAAGAGAAAATCGGAGGCCGAATTCAAAGTGTTTGACATAAATAGCAATATGACCATCAGGACAATCAAGAACAGTAGCAGAAGGTGGTGGAAGTATTAACTCAAACCCATTTGCCTTACGACAATATTCCTTTTCTTCGGCCAATTTCAGCCAAACCTTGCTAACACTGGCCTCAGCAACCTTACTGTTAGAGGGTAAGATAAGGGGTTGTCGGAAATCAACCTCATCGGTTTCAGACTCATATTCCTCATCTAAACTTTCCTCATGGGTAACTTGAGCCATGAGATCAATCATTTTGGCTCTCTCAGGGCTTTCGGTGTTATCGCCCTGATTTACTTCTTCATAACTATCATCGTCATCATTTAACACAGATTTGATAGCGAAATCGTGAACAGGAGATTTCGAACCTCTTTCAGACACGAATAGTAGGAGGAGTAAATTGTACCAGGCATACATTCCATGCCTTAAAAATTTTAGCAATTAAAGGATGAAGAGAAAATCGGAGGCCGAATTCAAAGTGTTTGACATAAATAGCAATATGACCATCAGGACAATCAAGAACAGTAGCAGAAGGTGGTGGAAGTATTAACTCAAACCCATTTGCCTTACGACAATATTCCTTTTCTTCGGCCAATTTCAGCCAAACCTTGCTAACACTGGCCTCAGCAACCTTACTGTTAGAGGGTAAGATAAGGGGTTGTCGGAAATCAACCTCATCGGTTTCAGACTCATATTCCTCATCTAAACTTTCCTCATGGGTAACTTGAGCCATGAGATCAATCATTTTGGCTCTCTCAGGGCTTTCGGTGTTATCGCCCTGATTTACTTCTTCATAACTATCATCGTCATCATTTAACACAGATTTGATAGCGAAATCGTGAACAGGAGATTTCGAACCTCTTTCAGACTCAGAGCTAGAAGAGCTTATAACTTGTGCTTGGCCAGGCCTTTTGCTTGGCTCAGGCCTAGAGCTTGGTTCAGCCTCAACATTAGGCCCCGCTGCACCATCAGCAATCTGAGATGGGTTGTCAGTCGGCTTAGATCTCGGCATACTGGAGGTTCTGATATGAATATTTCCGACGTTAGTTCCGTATTGATAAAAATCAGGTTTGTCGGCAAAACTCCGCAAGTGATACCGGATGCTAACAGGTTCAATTTCAAGAACCTCAACGTCCTCAGGAATGTTAGGGTTTGTTGGGCGTCGTGCCTTTTCACAATCCGCTAGTGTTTTATGACGGTGCCTCCTTTTGCTCTTTCTCTGATAACGGCTGAAAAGGGTCGTCAATGTTATCAGACAAAGATGAAACCCCACTTTTATTATGGCCGAGATATTTTTCCAAAGACTGCCTAATAAGACGCCGCCTAACAGTATTAAGGGTGGGTTGTTCTTCTTCAATATTATTATTGGACATTTAATAAACCAACTAAAAACTAAAAAATGGGCAAACAACGAATGTATTCCAACGCATGCAAATTGAAATTGAAATCTTTAAAATACCTTAAACTACTCGATGGCAGCGACGACGCAAAGAAGAATATTTGATGCTTCAATAATGCGATAAGTTCAGCAAGACCTAATTGCGGTTATCCCAAACAAAGATCGCAGCTTTCTCTGATAAAATTCGCAACTTTTTGTGAAGGAGATGAGAAAATGTGAAAAGTAAAAAAAAAAAAAAAAAAAAAAAAGAGAAAAGAGAAGTTAAAAAGGAAGTTGAAAAGGTGACGTTTGATGTGACACCTGGTCAGAAATCTAACGGTTAGAACAAAATGTTAATTTAAAAAAATAAATCGTTAGATTGTCGACACGTGTCCTCTACTTATACAATTTTCCCGCCTACAATTTAAAGCCACCATACATAAATATAATTAAAGTAAACCTTGTTTGCTAACGGAAAACAAGGTTACTTGGGGGGAAAAACGAAGTTTTTCGCTCCCAGCCTAAATATAATTAAAGTAAACCTTGTTTGCTAACGGCAAACAAGGTTACTTGGGGGGGAAAACGAAGTTTTTCGCTCCCAGCCTAAATATAATTAAAGTAAACCTTGTTTTCTAACGGCAAACAAGGTTACTTGGGGGGAAAAACGAAGCTTTTCGCTCCCAACCTAAATAAAATTAAAGTAAACCTTGTTTGCTAACGGCAAACAAGGTTACTTAGGGGAAAAACGAAGTTTTTCGCTCCCAGCCTAAATATAATTACGGTAAACCTTGTTTGCCGGTCACATCCTCACATTATAAATCAAATCGAATCAAATGAGAATACTAACAACAAGTGACAACGTTAGATCATCTGATCAAACGTCCTCACTCGGGGGGCTAGTTGTATGGGGAAATATCTACATAACGGAAATCATTATAGGCCGATATGGTATGACAGACCGACATACTATTTGAACTCGATCCATCAATAGCTTTTGTTAATATCGGCATTTCTGTATAAAGTATAAATATCGGCATGTAAGTAGCTGCTACGTGTCGTGCTTGCGTTTGACACGTGGCAGAAATTATATTACTTGTTAAACTGCCATCTGTCACTTAATAAACCTATAAATAATATGATTTTACTTCATAAACAAGGTAGCATTGATTACACTCTTTCTCTCACTACTCTCTCTCTCATTACTTTCTCTCTCTAAATAATCTTTCTTCTATAAACACTTGCTGACTTAATCTTTGGAACGGTTATCCCCGGATTCACCCCGGGGCTAGCTAATCTCTTCTCTTTGTGTAGGTTCTTACTTGACCGATAGGAGCAGAACGGGTTATATACTCGAGTTTCGGATCTTGGATTCGGGTTATCGGATTCCTGTAGAAACAGGTTTTATACAATAATACAAAAGATTTTTGAAGAACAATTCAATTAGGCTATGTTGTCTCTACCTTATAGTATTATTACTAAATAATTATTTTTGTTATATCAAACCATATCATCATATTAGACTAAAATAATTAATTAGGCAATTTTAAGTAAGTTGTACATATAACACAAAAAGATATCACTATTAATTAAGATTATTTAGAAATTTACTTAAGGATTGAAGAATTTGGTACATAACATACTTTACTTTACATGAAGTTGAAAGTTCATTGAGTTGACCTCTATTTTTCATCACAGAGGTGATCAAAATGGTCCAACCCAACCCAATTTAGGGCGGATTTTGGGTGGTTCAAACTTTTTAAATTTTTTTGCGGATTAAGACAAGTCCTTTAAAGATTTTTAGCTATGTTTTTACAATCACATTATATTATTGTTGCAAGATGTATGCTAAGCTAATTGGCAATTGCACAAGTTTTGTTGTAAGGATTTTTGTTGAGTTTGCCTCATTCTGTTCATCGGAGCTTACATCGAACTCAACCCGAGTTGCTAGTTTATGGTGGGTGAGTTTTCCAATAATAGTTTTCTGTATTAGGTGAGACTCGAATTCGAGACTTCCCTTTAGAAGACATCAATGCAAACAGCTTACCACTCGAGTCAACTCATGGTAGTTAGTTTTGTTGCAAGATGTTTTGATCTTTTGCCGGTCTTTCGGTCAAACTTTATGTATGTTTAAATTATTTTATTTAAAAAATTCAAGATACTGAAAAGTATTGGGCTATTCGCGCATGTTGCCGCTGCTGTCCAGTTGGTTTTCCTTACAATACTTGATTTTCGCCCCCACTTTTATTCTTTACTTGATCTTCCCTTTCAATTACGGTCTGGGGTGGTTTTTATATGGCATCCTATGCAAGTTTTATGATACTTTTCATGTATGTTTTTTAATGAATAATTTGGTTTGATTTTAGATCATTTTACAATTTTACTTTTTTTTTTCTAAAACCTTTTTTTTAACATATGCTTTGAACAAAAACTACAAATTATTTAGCATTTATCACAAAACATACACACACAAAAATAACGAGATGATAAGAAGTCAGCTGAACTGAATTGAAAAATTTTTATATTACCTTGATAAAAATTCATATTACAGGATGTAAAACGGAATTACAACGCCTGCTAAAATCAAGATGTTGCGAGTAAAAAAGAACCGATGTTTTGGCCATTAAAATCAGGCAGCAAAAACAACATTCCTTATAAAGACTCCTAAAATTAAAAAAACACAAGAGCCTATATATCACTATTTATAAATAAAATGACCTTTAGCGGGTGCTAATATAGGCACCACAGCAAAATATTGGCCACAATCTACTTAAAGGAAAAAAAAAAAAAAAAAAAAAAAAAAAAAAAACTCCTTTTAATTCTAAAATTCTCTTCCTAATTTCTTGAAGAAAATTTTCTTAGGAAAATATTTCATTTCCTTAGAATTTTTGTTGGTTTTTCTTTCTTTTTTTTTTTTATAATTAGAATTGTCCTCCTTCAAAAGTTTGACCAAATTGCCAATTGCCAGGAACAATGTTGTTACTAGTAATAGTCCTTCCATCACTAGAAGTAACTTGGAATGAGAGGCTTTGCCCATTGAGGTTAGCATTGCTTTGCCAATTTTGTCCCCAGTTCCTTGACATCGCTTGCCACCCGGTTTTCGAACCCTTTATCGACACCGAGTGGACGTCACCGGCACCGGCAACATTAGTGATTAGGACCAAGTTGAAGTAGGAGTGTCCATTGATTGTGAACCTTATTCCTCCCTTTCTTACACAGGGTACCCTGAAAATTCATAGCATACAATATTAGACTACTAGAATTATGTAACCCAAGAAACAATTGGCTTAAATGCCTTAAATAACCCTTTATGAAATTATTTAAATACCGAATTTGACCCTATCTAAGAGACTTGTCATTAAAAAAAGTAGTTTTAATCAGTACGGAGTTAAAATTTATTTTGTCGGTAAATAATATTTACAAGTAATTAATGTTTACTTAATGAATTTGGTTTAAGTCATTTGTTAACAACTTAGAGTTTATTCTGATTTACTGAGCTGAATTGAATTGTTTATAAGAGAATGAAATTAGGAAATAAACTGAAATGAATTGAAATTAGGCTGAAGAGAACAGGTCGTGAGTATAAAAATACATTTAAAATCCAATGAAGAAAAAAGGGCCTAAGTGTCATTTTCATTACTTTTCTTTTCCAATTTTTTGTTTTCTTTTTACAAAAATGTCCCTAGTCCCTACTTGCATCCAAAATTCAACTTAACCATATGAGTGTAGCTTCCTTTTCAAAAAAACCATTTAACAGTTTAACATCTATCAATTGAATATATTAAAGATAAATACTTAACATTCTTAACATTTTCTCCGATCCTTTTTGTTTTTCTCACTTAAATTAAATTTATCTGACGAAAAGATTCTAAATAAGACAAGTACATAAGAAAAAAATAAATAAAGAGTGTACCTTCTAAAAGAAACGGGGACAATTCCAGCACGATATTGAGCAATTTTTAAGTAAGAAGGCTCAGCCAAATCAAAATGTTGTAGAGGAGGGTTACACCATCCACCATTATCATTAGATAATGCATAGTTTGGTGGGCAAAAATTGGTAGCAGTGACAATAATGCTCCCTGCTATGCACCATTTTGGGTCGTCATTGCATTTAAGTTCGTAGCAAGCTCCACAACTCATTCCACTGTTAAATAACGCGGTACTTAGTGCCGCCGTGCTAGTCCCGTACCCTTGGCTGTACAAGTTTCCATACCCACATGCTCCCCCTGCATTTTCGTTACGATAATTAATTAGATATAACTATAAGCATAAACTACGTATGTACTCCCTCTGTCCGAAATTAATTACTGTTGTAGTAAAACTTCGTACAGTCAACATTTATTTATTTATTAGTACTTTTATTAACTACTTAACTAATGCATGTCATATTGTATTGGTTTTACAATGACAATGCATCATTACTTGTTTTACATTAATGCTAATATTGGTTTTAAAATATCAATGCACCATTACTTGTTTAATAGTAACGCTATTATATTTGTCAGTTTAGTAGGTTACCAATAGAGTGACTAATAACTTCTTGATAGGTGTACATATCCAAAAGAGTCGATTAACGACAATGTGACAATTAATTCTGAACAACAACATTGGTTATGACTTATGAGTGTTACGTCGTTGAGTAACAAAATGCTAAAGGTCTAACGTTTAGACAATATATAATTACGTGAACTTACCCATTGTGCCAGAGGCGTCACCTCCACCATAAAATGTAGCATGGGCATTCGTCCAACCGGCGTCACCGTATACACCGCGAAGGCAAAGATTAATGACCAAGACGAAGAGGGTTGAGGCCAACATGGTAGGAGAAGCCATGTATTGTTAGAGAACAAGAGTTTTAATTTTGGGAGGGAGAGGGAAAAATAGAAGGGAGAGTTTGAAAGAAAGCTATTTGCTTTGTGGTAAGGAAATGGTAAAAGGTTTTACTTATATAGAAACCTCAAGGCTGTAGGTTATGTGGGGTAGTGATTAACTAACCTATTACAAAATGACAAAATCAACATTAATTAATGAATTAATTTATTAAAAAAATAGCACCAACTTAAATTGAGGAAAAATAATAAAGTGGTAAATTAAATACCTAAATTGAAGAGTAAGCCAACTTAAAAAATATAAAAAATCTCATGTGATATAGTTGTATAGTAATCTTGATTAATTTATGATATAGTTTTGTTAAGTAAAGGGATTTGTTTTAGCAAGGTTGAATCTTGCACATGGAAGTTGTCCCAACTCCCAAGTAGACTTACCAGGCCAAACTGCTTAACGTCAGTTTTCTGGTCCAGGGTCCTACTTGCACATGCACTTTGTAATTTGTAAACTGTCTCTATTGTTTTTTTTTTTTCCTTTTTTTTTCAATTTTATTTATTTATTTATTTGTGTTATTTGTTACAGAATCTAATTTTTTAAAAGACTTAATTATGGATAATTCAATTGGTAATTTGATTAGGCCCGCGTTGCTGCTCATATATTTAATAAGGTAGGATTTGTTATATTTAGAGGAGTGGAGACTCAGATTGTATCTCGGTTTTTCACTATTTTTTTTAAAAGTTGTATGACTTTGCCTGTTTTTCAGATTTATTATTGTTATAATTGTTATTGTTATTATTGTTATTGTTGTTGAAGTATGATGACTAAATGATGTGACACTAATTAATGCTCTAAGGGACAAGGATTGCTTAAGATTGAGTCCCATATTAATAAAGTTCTAAGATATTGATGTTAAAAGTAACAACAAGAAGATCAAAAAAGTAAAAAGCTATATTAAAGAATCAAAAAAGTGTTCTAACATGAATCTCATGATATGCTTTGATTTCGGTTTGAACTTTTTTCCCCCTAATTTAAAATTTGAATCAATGAGTTTATGTGATAACTAAAAAGTACATGTTACAATATTAATTGTCAATAAAAATCCTATAAAGTACATAAAACTAAAGCAACATATTTTTTAAGGGTGGCAATTCGGGTTAGTAGGTCGTGTTCGGGCTCGATTTTGAATTATGTTTAGATACTATAAAAAATAGTGGCAATTCGGGCCAGTGGGTCAGATTCGGGTTGGATTATCGGATCGGGTCAGGAATTGTCAACCCTATTATTTCTACAACGTACTAAATATCACTTATCCGTTACGGTTTTCATAAGAAAGCACCAACCAATGCAATTGGACAAATGAAATTGTTAATTGGCACGTAGTTTTGGTACCAATTCGTGCAGCAAAATGGGAAGGTATATGGGCAATATGGCCGTATATATTTCAAATTCGTCACCTTATTCCTAAGTTTGCGCATAAAATTGCAGGCGAAAAATTAGAGGTTAATAAAGTGACGGTGAGGAAGTCCATATACTAAAGTATTCAACTTGTGCAACGACGATAAGCTGATAACCATTAAACCCCATCATCTATCGGTGCTCAAACTCTGTGACTCTGTGACATCTTTAAATATGTCACGCTAAATTAAAATCTTTGGAGTTACCATAAAATATGGGTCAAATTCAATGCTAGACATATAATAAGCCTAGAAAAATAGTAATTTTTTTTTTTATTTTTTTCAACTTTTAAGTATAAATTAATGATTCAGATCGCAAAACATTAAAAATGTCGTCTGTAGTTCAAAAAGTAATCCGAGGTTGTGTTAAGAACTCCATATATACAAACGTCTAGGGAAAGTGTTGAATTAGAAAGATAATATCTCGATGAATTGAGTCGTAATAGGTTTGTTTAACTTTTCTATCTTTATATGGGTTGTGCTAAGAACTTCATGTATACAAACGTCTAGGGAAAGTGTTGAATTAGACGATAATATCTCGGTGAGTCAGTGTATATATTGTGTCAGTAATAGATTTGTTTTCCTTTTACATCTTTTTTATGACGTATAAATATTTATCTACTACTTCGTATTATTTTTAATTTGCGAAAGAATGACATTATGTAATGAAATAGATTTCAAAATTTCTACTCTGATCTTTAGCCGCAAAGGTTATAAATTCAAGTTTTTTTTTTTTTTTTTTTTTGACAGCACAAATTAAGCTTTACTACACTATATAAACAAATTATCGTTAAAAAATTAAAATGCGATAAAAAGATTTAACTAGTGGATATCACGTAGTGAGCAAGAAAATATTAGAGCCAACATATGTGACTCAAAACCAAGTCTTTAGCTCATATCATCATTCCTTTTATAGACTAAATTAGACAACATTATGACTCAAAGCTTTGCATACACATAACTTTAAATTTAATTATGGCATGAGCCGCATGACTTTGATTTATCCCAAACTATATTCACATGGTAAGTCTATATACGTAGATAATTAAACCAACATACTTTATTATATGTGGCTGACCACACTGTGTAGACAGTTATTATAGGGTAGGGTTACTTCGTTAGTGTAATAGGGGTTACTTGGTCAGTATTTAAGTGTTACTTTGTCGGTATAATAAAATTGCTCGGTTAGTGTTATTATATAAGATACTCGATTAGTGTTATAAAAATTACTCGCATAACATTATAGAGATTACTTTGCTCATTTATACAAAGTAGTAAATAAAATGAAATGTTAAACAAAAATTCAAAGTGATACATAGCGTAGAGCGTAGTAGTTGTAGTACAATAGTTAGTGGTAGCCTAGTAGATTTTGTTATAAAAATAAATAAAGTAGTTAATTGAAATTTAATTTAGTAATAATTTTATTTTTATTTTTATTTTTTGAGGGAAAAGTAGTTAGTGGTTGTTAAATGAAGAGAAAAGACAGGTAAAATAAAATAAAAATAAATAATAAAAAAGAATAGGTCTACGTTAAAAAGGTATGTCCGACCTAGAGTCAAAAGGAGAGCATCTTCCAAAATATTTCTTAGACCGACTAATCCGTGAACTACCTTTTTTCAGCATACAAATTTAAAATATTAATATAAATCGTATGTCCACTTGTCTAGCTTATAAACAGTCAAATGTCGAATTCTGGTCTCGTAAGCCATGTAATTATGTGCTTAATTAGCGCCTTGCATTGCTCCCATGCCGTAAATTGCCTCTTCTTTAACTTTTATTGTGTTCATACGGAGTTTGGAGTTTCACATTCTCAACTGGTACGAGTGAATATCAACTAATTTAGTTGGTTAGACGTAGGAATGTCGAGTTTTGTACTTCAAAAATAGAGTATAACTTAAAATTTTATGCGCTCATGGTTTTTTTTATACACCATACTTATAGGAAAAGTTTTTAATTAATTCACTTAAAAAGGTACTCGTAACATGGTTTCCAAAAAAAAAAAAAAAAAAAAAAAGCCAAAAAAGTACTCGTAATGGTTACTCTTTTGATATGAGTCTTATTGCGTAACAATCTATGTGAATAACAGTATAGTTCACTTAAAAAGTTACGAGGTAAAACGGAGTATGTAATATGATTATTTCATAAATAGAATTGGCAAATGTGGCAATGTGCTATGTGGCATTTTGTTCTAATTTGTCTTGTACAAGTTGTATACATTTATTATCTTAGAAAATTTATCAAAGCTACGTAAAACACATATTATGAGTCTATGATGATCCGATCCATGCAAGTGACATATACGTAGATTTTTTGTTGTATCAACTTTGTGTTTTGCACAATAATTTTTTGGTATTGTGTTAGTTTTGAGTCTGTTATCGTGTTGTATTATATCGTGTCGTGTCATGTTAAAGATATCCGAATTTATTTTAGAGCACATACTACTACCTAGTGATTAATTAAATACGTGGTTCATTGGTGTAATAATATTCTACACTTCATTTATTGTGTGTTTAGAAATTAGAAGTAGGAAAGGACTTATGTAGACAATGTAGTATATTGAACTAATGAAGGTACATTTCGTACATGCTGGTGTTGGAAATTCATTACATATAATATTCTCGATAGTATAATTTTTCATGCATTCATAATTATAACCACATGTGTTGCAACAGAAGCATGTCCTTTTTAATCTTAAGGAATAATCGTAGAAGAAAATGCAAGAAAGAACAACATCTACTCTCTCTTTATGTGCTAATTGTGGCAATTAATTAAGAAGATCTTTCTTTGATCATGCATTAGGCTTTTATTAATTATAAGTGCAGATATTTGCATGCACCAGAAATCTAATACTACCTCCGATTTTTTTTTTTAGTTGCAACTTTGGAATATTTTATATCTCTCAAATAATACCCCAAAGTTGCAACCAAAAAATATCGAAGGTAGTACTACGAAGTATACTAAATTCATTTTACAATAAAATCACATGATATATAGAGAATTCAATATATCCTACAAACTAAAAAAAATATATTAAGAAAAGGGTAGAATCCGATTTATATATAAGCCTTTTTGAAAATCCAAAGTCTTAATCAAATTCAAGAGTTTACCTTTTATTTTTCAAAGTATTGTAGTTTTTGGCTTCTCATAAATCTGTTACAGGTTAAATACAGGGTCTGTTCACATTTACTTAATTTCAGTTCAGTTTAGCTCTGATCAGTTTAGTTCAGTTCAATTTAGCTCCTAATTTCCCTCTCTCGTAAAATATTCAGTTTAGTTCAGCTCTAATCATTTCAGTTTAGTTCAGCTCCTAATGTCCCTCTCTCATAAAATATTCAGTTCAGTTCAGCTCCAATCAGTTCAGTTCAGCTTAATTTAGTAAATGTGAACATGCCCTATTAGTTGATCAATAGACTTGTTAATGCACAATTTTGATCATTAACATATTTAATTATTTGTAGTAACTAGTTAGTACAGTAATAAATTATGACAAATAATAATTTGAAAATATACATTAAGAAATTTTAAAACATCTTATAATTTACTAACATGTGTTTTTATAATACATAATTTTATATAATTTGGCAACATGTTTGGGCCAAGTCCATTGTCCTAAGTCCATTGACATGGAATTACGAAAGTACCCCTCCATAATCCAGCCCGTCATTAATCATAGTAAAGTACGAATTTACCCCTGATCTGTCCAAACAAGTACAACTTCTGCCACATGAATGTACATCTATAAATAGCTCTCCAATAATTAATTGATGGTAACTTTTTCCTAATTCTCTAATCTTCTCTCTCTACTTTCTCTCTCTAAAGTACTCTTTCTCTCTTTACTTTCTCTCTCTAGAAAGTACATTCGTTGACTTAAGCATCGGAGGGGCTTTCCCGGGTCACACCCCCGGGGCAGTATACCTTCTCTCTCTTTTGCAGGCCTAGCTCTCGGACAACAAGGCATAGCGGAGGAAAATTCGGACATTCATCGGACATAGCTCTAGGACATCTTGATTTCATTACCCTAACACCGAGGAGTATTCTGTTTTCTGAAACAGTTATAAGCTAAGCAAATACATACAATAAAAGGAACATCTAGTCTAGTTTATTTGGTCTGAATTTTCAAATCTGTTATGATTCCAATAAGAAGTTCATGAAATGAGGATAAAGTAACATAACATCAAATCTGAAGCATATGTCAAAATTCGGTTTTTTTTTTTTTTTCACATCACTTTTCCAATATGAAGTTTGTATGAATGTTTTAAGATATGAGTATGGTAAACGTATATTAAAAAAAAAATGATTTGAATGTACTCGATAGTAAGTACAAATAAACATCTTATAAGCTCCATTAGAATTAAGAACCGATGATGTATAATTAATTTCAATCAATTAAACTAAAGGGCATGTTCTTTTCAGCTTAATTTCGATTCAGTTCAGCTCCAATTAGTTCAGTTCACTTTGTTCAGTTCCTGATTTCCTTCTTTCATAAACAATTCAGTCAGTTCAGTTCAATTCCAATCAATTTAGTTCAATTCAACTCATTTTAGGAAATTAGAATAAGCTCTAAGTTTAATTACATGAAAATCAAATAACAAGATTGATCGCACCCCTAGTATTCTAGTAAGATACACTCGAGTTATTCAAAAACCAATAAATGAACAACATAAGATCTAAAAATCAGGGATTATACGTACATAGATTTGTTTTTCAAATTAATCAAATCTGCAAAGTGGAAAAGACACAACTTAAAGGTTCCGTAAGAGCACAAAATGTGCAACACAATTTGCAACATATTTTATTTTGTCATTTACCATAAAGTCCATAAAATCATAAATCACATATAGTCAACTACCATCGGTGGTTAATCTCCGAGTATCAAGTGTCGGTAACTACAAGTTGATTAATTCAATAAAAACAAAGAAATTAAAATATGGTTTATTATTATAAACTTGATTAAATCTCATAATTAAATTAATGCTAAGGATCAACAAATATTGTCATACTTGCAATAATGTTCGTTCAATTAAGAGAATACATGTGGTAAGATCCTAACAACAATTTCAAGAATGTACAAAAAGATGTGCCGTAGTTAATACAGTTGCTTCGTTACTTAATTAACACCCTCTTGTTAATTGCCATTATTTAAGAAGTAATTAAAATTTACTCCCATTAGATTATGCAGCTAATAGATCCGTAGCCCAACGAATTTCAGATCGTGCGTAATTGAGATTTGCATTAGCTAGGTACTAACTTCGATTCACTAAAATGATTACACTTGTTTTCTACAATTTTCTACATATGTAATACAAAAAAGATAAAAAGTAAAATTCATATTATAAGCTAGAATTATGTATGGGGATTATTTGACTCGAGTAGGCGAGTAGGCAAACAATCGTTATTGCAATTGCTAATTGATAGAGTATAAAAACATATTCCTGGGCCTCTAATAGTTGAGGCCCAGGAATATGTTTTTATACTCTATCACTAATTACTCTTACTAATTACTAATTACGTAGTATCACTGAAAAATAGTCATTACCTAGACTAGGGTATCCCATCCACTCGTGCAATTGCAAATAGCTAGCCTTGATTTTGTGTTAATTCATGAGATAATTAACCCTATACGGTCATGAACCATGACTAGAGGTTTAGGGATGAAGGTACAAATTAAATCAATGAGACAATCTTGTCCATATTGGCCTCTACTCTATTTTTATTGTGACAGGTATTTTGCGATTCAATCGACATACAATCAAAGTCAATTTTGCTCCAAATTAATTAATAATACTAGGTTGGTTGAATAATTATAATAATGCATACTTATATAAATCTGAATATTGTGATCACTTATTGTCCACAAAGCTTAAAAGGAAACATAAACCGGTTGTCAAACTTATTTTATTAGGCGTGATTTTCAATTACATATTCTTAATTACACATGCAAAAGGTGACCAAAATAAATATATTATACGAATAAATTGGACGAAAAGTGATAAAAAGAAAAAATTACTTAGATTTTACACGTTCCTTTTAAATTGCTACATTATGAATTAAATTTTAATAACTATTATAGAATATAAGTTGAATGAAAAGAATTAAATTAATTAAATGAAGTTTAACCTTCGGTAATTTAACCCTACATACCTTTGTTTAAGGGTAGTACTTCAAATATTATAACGTCTCTTCGAATTGCTTGAAAGAAAAACAATGGGGATATTAAAAATATAGAATAGATTTGTTTTCTCGTCTAATTTAGTGCCTAAAACCCTAAAAAAGGTCCGGTATTTATAGGCTAGGTTGCAGAAGAAAAAAAATAAGAGCAGAAATTGTCGTGTCGCTTTAGAAAATTGTCGTGGAGTACCAAATTGTCAATTTTGCTGTACCACGACAACGTGGCGTAATATATAGTTTGGAATTTTTTCCACGGTTTTCAAAATTTCCACAACTTTTGATCCGTAGCTGGAATAAAGCATATATTATATTGCTAGAAAGATATAGAAGTCTACTTTCCAACCTAATTAGAAATAGGTCAAAATCAATTGTAGATTTTTAGATATGAACAAAATAGTGCAAGGATGTCAATTTTGAAATGAACTTAGTATTTGGCTCGTATAATATTTGCATAAAAGTTATGAGGCAAGAAAACCATATTTGCTTTGTAAAAGGGTATGGGTTTAAATGGGTTAAAATAATAACAAAACAAAACAAAAAAAAAATTAAAGGATAGTAAAAAGGAAAATTAGGTAGGATAAGGGAATTAAGTGATTCCGGATCTAATATGCAATCCGGCAAAAATGGTGATTAATGTTCACTCATCATCGGGTCTGAGTTGTGGAGACACGACCAAGTGTCTACAAAAACATATATATGAAGTATTATTCTTAAATATGTGTATCAAACGTGTGAAATACTTATCGAAACAGATCCTTGAAAATAAAACAAATTCTCACTATGCATATACACATATGTCAATCATACGTATCTCATATAAGTGTTTGTGTATCCTTAAGATCGGGATTACTACAGGTTAATTTTACCGAATCTATTTTCTGACACATCTTATATAAATTAGTAAATTACCCCCGGAATTTTATATAATTGAAAAGTCAAACTGAATTTAAATCAATTACGAATTAAAAGGAGTGTAATTGTCCTTTTTTTTCTTTGTTTTTTTTATAAATACAAACAAAGAACAAAACAAAATTAAATCTACTCTATAATGACAGACAAAACGTGGAATAGCCACACCTATCTCTAATAATGCTGCTCAACTATTGAGTAAGGACCTAAGACATTCATATTTGTGCTTATTTCCATTGCCTTTTATACACGAATGGATCAACAAGTCGATCTGAACTCGATTTAACTTCACTCTTATTAAGGAACCTACATAATAAGTTAAAAAACATGAAACACTTGATGCAACAAACATAATATTACACACCAATATATACAAGTATATACCATAAACAAACAATAGAAATCCAAAATTAATGCACATGGGGGGGGGGGGGGGGGGGGGTTTGAATTGAATTGAATTCGCATTAAATTTCTTTGCTCCTTCACTTAGCCTTGGATCCTTTAAGTAGGGTCCTCTTTGCACCGTTTTTGCCCTTTGTTTTAAGGGCAAAAACATGAGGATGAAATTGCTTGTCTTTTGGTTTTTAGGGTCCATCTAAAACAAAGTGTAGGGCATACTTACAAACAAGGGCTAGTGAAGGGCAATTTCACCTGGGACCATCCTTAAACAAACAAGTACTACTATTTGAAGTTGGGTCAAAAATATTCAGTCTGCCTCCCCCTATGTTTTTGGTCCAATGACAAGAAAGACACATGGATAACTATATGTGGAACTTTGAAAACGCAAGCTTTATTTATTTGTTGATTATTTGAATGTTGAATCCACAAATGTATGTTCTAATATACTTTTATGCTTTCTTTAGGATACATGTGACTTGCACAAGTCTGGAATCGGATTGGATCAGACTGGAATCAGTTTGATTGAAAGAATAATGATAGGACCGTGGATTCCTAATCATGTTAACGACAAATATACATAAGGAACACCAATAAAGTGACACAAAAAGATTTTTCGTGAAAATTCGAAAATAAATTAGATAACAATTTATACGCATTCAGACTTTCAGTGATGTGTATGATGAAACATTGGTGACTTATATGTTGTTTTCGAAATCATCATTGATCTTATCAGAGTTCTAAATATAAAACTAATCATCCTAATCACCCAAGATACTAGCCATTTAGTCAAAACCTCACAAATAGTGGGATTTTAACACCAACCTCTTCAAATAAATAAATTAATTAATTAAATTAGACAAAAATAAATAAATAAATTGGTGCACACTGCTACATACCTATCATAGAAATTGACATCATCAATAAGATGTTAAAGTAGCTTAGGAGTTAGGATGATTACTCGTTTGTTTTATTTGTTTTAATAAAGTACAAGGAAAATTAATTTGATTTTAAGGCTAATAAGTTTAGACAAATTAGATTAAGTTTAATAAATTAACAATTATTTTGATAAATTCATATAAGTTATGTTTTGTGGTAATATGAATAACATATTATAATAAGCTCAAATTCAAGTAATCAAGTTTAAGATAGAGAGCTAACTTCGAATCAGTCAATTTTATGACTAAAAGCCTAATAAGCTAAGATTTGAAAACCTTAGGGTTTTTTTTGGCATTACTGTAGTTTTTCGTTTTTTAAAATCATATGATATATGTTCTACAATGAATAAAAAATTAGTCAAACTTATTAAGATAATGATATTTTTGAAAATTGACAAAAAAAAAAAAAAAAATGGAAACACCTTTTTCTTCTTTCCAGTTTTTAGTTTTTTGTTTTTTTAAAAAAATGAAAATCGAAAACAAAAAAAATGCCACACAAGCCCTTAATAATTTGATTTTGGATTAATAAAACACACTATCAAATGATAAAATTAATTGTTAAGGTATTGAATTTTGTATTGATCAAATTTAGTTTGTATATATCACTATCCACTAGTCTTAATTTCAATTAAAAAAATTAAAAATAAATTCAAGATTTTATCATAAAAGTAATGGAGAATTATTATAGGGATAAGATAAGTTAGGATAAATGGAGAAGTTTCGCATCATTCATAAAGTATTGTCCTAAATGTCAAGAGTAAGAATGATGTTTATATGGGACATCAAACTTTGGGATAATATAAAATTTTCCTAAATGTTCTTGTTGACTATAAACACATGGTTTAGTTAATTTCAATTTTACAAGTTGGCCAACTTACATGTGAATAAAGTTCATTTTACTATACATGTACATATTAAATGTTTCTATAGAAATATAAAATGGTCCACAAAATATTTATCTTGTTTCTATAATGTGTTGTGTAGATATATAAATATAATGGTCACATTTATTATATTAATATAATTATACATAGTAGTATAAATTTTGTGGAGTTTTTCAAAAAAAAAAAAATTTTGTGGAGTATATAAATATTTATAAATTAATTAAGAAGTTGGCCAATGGCTATGGTTGATGGGCTAAGAAAGAGGAGCCTCTGAATTTGATTGTGGGGGTGAAAGTCATAATGGACTACGAATAGTGAGGAACACTAGTCTCGATCATGTTTTGGTTCATGCACATGTAGAGTATATTTAAATTTTGCTTTCTCAAAGATTAGTTTTCCACAAATTCCACAACAATGTCGTTCAATGTCACCCCTTAATTTCAAAAGATAAGAAATTCAGTCTAATTTAATCCTGTTGCCTTTGGACCTCCAACCATAATTTTGAATTAAAAATTTAAATTTAAATTATTGTTATATTTAAATCGGTTTTAGTTAAGTTTATTAAATCTTTTCTGTCATGATCAATGAGGTGTGTGTTAAAAAAAAGTTCTATCATGATCAATTAGGTCTAAAAAAATTTAAATAAATTCAAGTTGGAAAAAAGGGTCTTAAGGGCATATTCCTATTAATTTGATTTTCACTCATCTTAACTTACTAGAATTTATTTTAACTTCAATATGTCTCATATATTTCACTATATACCATTGACTAATTTTATTCAATTATTTGAAATCGGTGAAAATTAGGCGAGTTGAATGAAGTCTAAGTTTTTTTTAAAGCAAAAGGGATATTAAAAAAAAATAAAATTATAATTATAATGATATGCGGCGATTGAACAAGTAAGAAAATCAATAGGAAACATTAGAGGCAGTAAGCTAAAATAATTTTAATTTCAGATACATTATTGGCTTCTCTTTGGCTAAGACTAAAGATGGGCATGGGCCATGCCGTGTAGGTCCACGTGTAAGATCAACTTGTCTCGTGCTTAAGTGAATCGTGTTTAGAATGAAACATGAAATAATCGTGAATAAAATAAGCGAGTTGAAATTAGGCCATAATTTACCGACATTCCTTTTGTGTTGTGTTGGGCTTATGATGGGCTTATACCAAGTCAGGTAATTTTCAACCAATCCGACCCATTTCTATCTCTAACTAAGACAACAAAGCAAGTGAATTAATAATGGACACCAAATTCATCTTCATTTCCTCGACTTACCAAAGGAGACAAATAATAACATCCTAACCAACTTGAATGGGGACATTTCTGTATAAAATGTACAAAAATTAATAAAAATTTTAATCATTTTTTTTGGATGATGAAAATGATTCATGAAGAAGCTGACCGCAAACCACGGCTGGTTCATGTGACTCTTACGTGGTAGGCCGTGTGCACACTTCATCCATATCTTTCTGAAGTATTTTATGTATGAGACTCTAATTTTTTTTTTTTTTTATTTTTTTAAGAAATAATACTAATTTTAGGTAGTGTATATTGCTACCATTTGTCACAATATAATATTTGCATAAATCACCTCATATAGTCATATAAAGGTGAACAATATTCATCATATTAAGCTGTTATGTGCTTGTAATTCTTGTATTACAATGGGTAAAGGTGAAATCACTTTGTTCAAGTATCTAGAATGGAGATGTAATTGTGTCATTCGCTTCTCCATCAATGGCTTGTCAGGAGAACAATTATATTCGAGTAGGAGTATTGTTATCACCTGTGGTAGCTTAAAAACAAAACTTGAACATCGACGTATAGTTCAGCACATTTAAAAATTTGCCCTGCATTAAAGAGGAAATGAATCCTATATAGGAGCAGGAACGGAATCTAGTGATCGATCTACAAGGTTTCTGCGATGTATCTGAAACATATTCAAAATTTACATTACACTTTTTAAGCACAATTCAGTGCTTCAATCAATGGCTTTCACTTACATTGTGGGGGTAAAGGTCAACTTGCTGTGGTTCATCTGAAACATCCTCAAAATTTACAGAACTCAGCAGTCCAATAAATGAAAGAACTAGAGACTCACTTTGTGATATCAGGATTTACACATGTTACGGATATTCTTGATATTTCAAACGGGTATATTTTTGTATGGGCTTTTTGCAGATTTTTGCAAAACTTTCAAGCAGCCTTGAATTCTCCAAACTTGTATTTTTTTTCATGTAGCGGCTTAAAAACATGATCTAGCTCTGGAAATGCATACAAAAGCACGAGTTGAAGGAGATCCATGACAAGCTGTTTCAGACAAACAGATGACTGCCACGCACAAACAATATCAGAAAACTTGCAGTTGTCCTCTTGTTATATTGATGAAATAGGAACAGGATAAAAAAGATTCTAATAAATCAATTACTTGTGCAGCTACTCGACGCTAAATATTTCACATGGTTTATAGATTTCATTCCATAATAAAATGCATCATATGTACTAGTAGATGTTTCTCAAATAATAAAACCCCACAAAAGCAGCAAAAATAACATCCACTGGACAAGCAGTACCACACAGGAGAGGTAACTCAGGTAAGTCAAAATACCAAATGACAATCAAAAAGATATTTTATATTTTTATTACACATCTTATTAGAGAGAAATATTTAGTTTACCTCAAATATCCAATTATATAACTTAAGGCTATAATTGACAATATTAGAAAGCTGAAAGCTTAACAACATGACACAACAAGACAGCCGAGAAACGGAAGGAACTGGGAAGTAACCCCAGATACCAAGATGGAGTCACTGGTTCCACAACAATTCAATTAATCAATCATTCAACTTCCTCTACTTAAAAAGCCAATTTTAGGGTTTAAAGTATCTATAATAATTGATAACTCCCATAAATCAACCACCCCCAGAGGACAAGCAAGGAGCATACTTTCCCTAAGTCGAATGGAGAAAGGCTAAGTTCTGCCAATCTATAGCCACTCGTCAAATTGAAGTGTCCTTCAGCAATCATTTTTTTTTAGTAACCTTGATATATTAATTAGTTCATTTACTTTCTTATTTTTAAGTTTTGCATAGATGAATTATCCTGAAAGTGATGAAAACCACTTATTTGCTATAATTATATAAACCTTCCCCCATTTCAAAGGTGGACTTTAACTTTCGTGCGAACTAATGAACTGCGTTGTTGAGACGACGGGACTTGATAGCAAAGTAGCCAACAGAGGAAAAAAAAAAAAAAAAAAAAAAAAAAAAAAAAAAAAAAACTGAAGCATTCAGAGGAATTCATGCTTCAAAGACAGATTAAGGTTTTACCGTCTTTTTAATTTTTTTATACATGCTCATGTCCACAGAAATACAAATTAGCATGCCTTGATGCACACACTACCGTTACGCCTGGTTTAGTCATACTTTTCACTTTTTAGGTCAAACTGAACAAAATGAGCATCTCGTGATACAGGGTAGGAGAATTACTCAGCCAAAGATGCAAGAGGGATTAAAATTAAATGTACAGCACGAACAATATTTCTCCAACTACAATAAATTACCTGGAGAAAGTAATACAGATCCTTAGCACACTGTTCATACTCCTTACGGCCAACAATGCTTACAACAGCGGCAGGAGCATTATCTGAAACAAAAATTCAGGTATTGATCATCTCACAATGCATGGTAATACCCAGGTGTGCTCATACATTTCTATTATATAACTTACCAATCATTAGCTCATAGACAAATTTGGCACGTCTATCAGCTTCCTCCTCTTGAAGCTCAGCATTATTCTCAAAATTCTCTGCCTTTGGTGATGACATCCTATCAGGAAGCTGGCCATGAGAAGAATTCTGAGACGGGCTATCAGTGGCAGGTGGTTTTTGTCTATTAGGATGCTTTGTGATGAATATTCCATCTGGCCAAAGTATCTGCATACAAGTTTATTTCCAAGTGTTAAGTGTCTTAAAGTTCATTTCCAAGTGTTAAACATCTACTTAATGACAGAGACGATGACAACTTCAGCAAATCAGATAAAGACTGTAAATCAGAAGACACATAATCATTCGTAACCCATGGCCATTGTTTTTGAAGAGAGGTGACACATTTCCTGTTAATCTTATTCAGAAATATTTGCACTTGTAATTCTGGATGGACATTCCAGAGGTTGCTTATAACCTTGCTTTCACTTGTTGGGCACCTCTCTCCTAGCTATAGTACATACATTCTAAGCCCAGCTAAACTCATTCTTTTTTTAATAGAATGGAGCGGAGAGGAACGAAAAAGAGCTTGCTATTATTCACTGATGATAGCTTCATCCGTAAACAAGTAAATAAAGTTTTGCCTCATAGGTCAGGCATAATGACACACTAAACAATTCGTGTGGCAACAAACTGTACGTATCCTCCAACAAATAATATATATCCCCAACAAACTTTACGTATCCTTGTTATGGATCGAGTCAACGACCCAAGTCAACCCTTGAGGGTATACTCGAGGCCCAGGAAAGAAGGGCAGCAAGCAGTATAGGGAAGCAACACCAATTGGCAACATGACAAAGTTAATTAAGAAAAGAGAAGGAAAGCAAGCAAACCAAGTTCTTTTATGTCATTCTATGGGTTTTTCCATTTTAGTGTTAGAAAGTCACATGTATTAGTCTTAAGGTCTTCATGACCATTAGCCTTGTTAGTATAAGTAAGTAGTAGTAGTAACAAGGGAGGGTATCCAGAAATTTGAGTGAACTCATTGAGAGATTGGTAGCCTCAAGCTACTTGAGAGATTGATAGGCTAAAGCTATTATTATCCCCCATTAGTTTGTAATCACAATCAATTAGTAATCAATCATCAAGCTTTCCTTCTCAAATTAGTGCAAATTGTTTACATTAGTGTTTGCGCAACTTGAGTCCATAACAATCCTCTATCAAATAACACATATCCTCCAACAAGTTATACATATCCTCTATCAAATAATACATAACCTCCACCAAATACTACATATCATATATACTTGCCGCATAAATTCTTAGGTGCGGCTTGCCGCACCCAACACCTTCTAGTGGAGAAAGGATGTTAATAATATTCTAAAATCTGCGCAGACATATGGGATAACACTTACCACTGTACCCTATTTTAGGCAGATACCACTTTCCTTCCTACCATTCTTCCATCCTTCTCTCCCAATCCAGTATGAATCAATATCTTAACCCCACACTACAAAAGACAACACGTGAACACGTAGTTTCAAAGAAACACATGCAATATCAATCTTACAAAAAATGCCCGAAAAATAGCAATGAATATTTTTAGCCATGAATTTTGAGGAAACTAAGAGAAAGTCGCATGCGTTGGTTCAGGCGTGTAAGATGGAGACCCAGGGTGCACCGGTACGAAGAGTGGGATCATGGAGAAATTAAACCAGGTAGAGGGAGACCGAAATAACTTGGTTGGAAGGAGTTAAGAAGGATATGAAGCATATGGATTTGCATGAGAATGAGGTATTTGATTGTGAGGGATGCAGAAGGAAGTTTTTTGTTGATGACTATACGGAATAATCACTTTTGGTTCATCTAGCTGACCCCACTTATGGGATTAAGGCTTTGATTAGTTGATTGACTTCTCAGGAAACATAGTATCCAAAGGGACTCTAGTATCAACATTTCAATTTGCTGGTTCCACCCAATGATCCATTTGTGTTCTATGATGTTCAACAATTCCCTATGCTCCACCAGTCACAGAAATTTTCAGTATTAAAGTCACCATAAAGATTTGTTGGCATAAATCAGAATTTTGTTGTCAAATATGTATAAAATGTAGCAGAAATCAAGGCAGGCAAACTCAAGTACTCAATGCTTAACTAGAAAGGTTTTCTTATCTCTCCCACGGCCCCGCCTTATTATTTAGGTGGCAATGTGGCATCATATTCAGATGTAATACATTTGACATTAGGAAAGATAATATTAGCTTTGAATGCGTTACCAGACACTGCTTTAATGCCTCTAATTCAAACAGTGGAACACCTGCTATTCACAGGGAGAAGCTTATCATGCATATGAGGAAATGGGTCTACATTAATATGATACTTAGCATCGAGCAAGAACCTCATATAATAATTTTGACGCCGGGGACTGGGAAATTAGAAGTAAAATATCTCCCTACACATTTCATATATGCTACTCCTTATAACAGAAAACAGGTGAGAACTCACCCTAACTGATTTCACAGACAGAAAACTCAAACTGCAGATGCTTTTCATACATGCTATAAGCTTATACAGTGGACAGGTGAACAAGCAAAGGTCACTCTATCCAGTTTCAGACAAAAATCGCACCATAGAAGCTTGACAAAATGTTGACAATATTATAATAAACAGAAGCTGCATAGAATGTAATATAGTAAATACAATAAGCTTGTCCTAGCATGTTCCTGCTCTGCGTGACTTGCACAATTTTTTAAAATGCAATGACAGGATAAGCAGTAGCATATGAATACTAGCACGTTTACAAATTCAGAAGTCCAGGTAAGTAAGAGTCCTTTAGTCGATTCAATTCGGTTTAATATATCTGTAAATAATTACTGCATCAAAGTAAGCCATGCTCATTAAATTACCTAATAGGGAACTTGTTAAGCACATCCCAGGAAAAAAGCGGAGGTGCTGGTGGAACCTATTCCTATATTACACCACAAAACAGGATGATTGACCCATTGAGTGACATAAGATAGAGCAGCAAGAGCCTGCAACCTTGCACTAATGGATTATTGCAAAGTAATAGGTGTAGAACCCAGGATCTTGAGGGTTTGTTATCAAACAGGCAGGAACAAGGAAGCCATTATTCCAGAAAGAAGTTCCTTATTAATATACTGGATGTCACATAAACAAGTTCCAATATTTCCCCCTTTATTCACGAGCAATTATTTCAGCCATGGAGTTGCCAAAGAAATCTAAGAAAACAACAATCCAATCCTCATGCCAGCCATGGAGTTGCCAACCAGAAAGAAAGGGCAGGTAAAATCCTGATTATTAATATTACTAACCCTTCTACTTTCTAGTGTCTAGTACTACTGGCCCAAAAGGCTATCTTATTTTCTGGCTTTATCAATCAAAGTGAATGAAGGTTACAAACTTACTAATTACTATCAGCACCCCTATTTGCTTAAAAACAACTCTATGCTTGCAAGGTGATGGTGGTTATTAGAATGGTTCACGTTTTTATTACTTTAGAGAGACCAATTGATAAAAAATAACATGATGAGATTATAGTGAGTGATCCCAGGAAATACAAAATGTTGATTTTTTTGTTAGACAGCACACAACAATAAGAACAGGAGGCTGCTCCACTACTTTAGCCCTACATTGGCTTCAAAATTGGCAAGGAATCCCTACATCACACGCATAATTAACACTAGGACAATGACATTAAGATTTCATTAAACACGATTAAAGAAATAACTTATCAGAACTCGAATTAGTAAGCATCTGTAACCAATGCTCTTCCATCATTCTACAGACATTACAACATTCAAAAAAGCTAAGACAAATGTTGTAAGTTCATGATACATAAAAAGAAGAAAATTCTTACCTGCTCAACTCGTCTAATCCCTGAAGCAATTACAGATCCCCTGCGTAAACGCTGGATCTTCTCAACCAACCAATCATCAAGTGCATCACCCATCCCGAGCTGCAACACTTGTTTGGCCACCCAAAAAGCCTTCCGCCTATCATATAGCACAAAAATAGGATAGGATATGCTTACACATGAAGCAACATACAATCTTGGGCCCAAAAGTAAAGTAAGGTAGTATTATAAGATTCCTAGAATACCTGATCCAAGCTCCTTCTTGCAGCTGAAACACAGTATCTACCAAATCCAATATGGGGACACTCAGATGTGGTGGCACCCACTGAAATCAAAGGAAGTCAGTCAGTGAACCAATGAAATAGAAAGAAAAGAAAAAAAAGAAATGAAAGAACTCAAAAAAAAAAATCACAGACTTAATAGCAGAACATAGTAACTAGGCCGGTTTAAAATACCAATACGAGTCTTCCTCGGCAACATACTTGATTTTCACTCAATTTTTTTCCAAACAAAGTAATGATGATTAAATAAAGACGTCAGTAAGTTCAATTGTTAGTACCTCCATAGGAATCGTTGGATCATCAGACGTATCTCCTTCTCTTCCAATATTTTGCCGCTGATCACCTTCATTCCCCTTTCTTTCAATATTCTGAATTCTGTTATCTGAATCTCCACCTGAATTCTCCACAAGTTTCCCAAACTCTTTTACAGGCTTTTTTCGGGGTAATTGATCTTTGTTATCAGATTCCGCATGATTACTCCTAGGTTGTAAGTGATTCACTTTTGGGCCACCAATACAGGACATACTCGCACTGTTTTCTTGTGGCTTAACTGAAATAATCCATAGTAGCAACACCAAGTAAAAGTAGTCAGGAAAAGTATGAAAAGCCAGGGTGGATAATTTTTGTTTCACATTGTTTTACAACAGTGAAAACTAACTACTCCATCTATTTTCGAAAATGTAACCCTTGACTCTTGTTTCTAAAAGTGGTGAGTGGGTATAAGGAAACGGTATATAATGTAAGAGAGAATGTTGGAAAAGGTGGATCAGTGCAAGAAAAAGGTAGATAAAGTAAAAGAGTGTGAAAGATGAGTGGGTGTAAAAAAAAGGTGAATAAAGTAAGAGAGGGTGTGTAAAAAGGTGGGAGTATAAGAGAATTTTGATGAAGTAAAAGAGAGTCTGAAAAGGTGTAATATTGTGGGGTAGGACGGTAAAATATGTTTGCCAAAATTAGATTTTTTTTTTGAAATGGATACATCAAATTAATTCACCTCAAAATGGAAAGTAGGAACATCAAACGAAAACAAAGTGAGGTTTTTTTCCATTCAATAAATTCAATCATAAAGTCTCTACAAGTTGATAAGTAAGAATTTATTTGAAAATAAACAATGAGAGAGATCTAGTAGAGGTGATCAACAATGGCCCCAGAAAAAATTGTGTTCGGGCAACCCTAAAAATGTATTCAAGCCTGCCCGAAAAACCTGAAAAGCCCGCTTCAGCTAGATAAGCCCAACGCTATTTAGCGGGTTTTGGCACAAGATTTTGTACTAAGGCCTAGCCGATTTTTATCACCACTAGAATCTAGCAAGATCCCACATAAGTATAACCATGTTTTTTCTTATCTACTCCCTCCGCAAACAGTTATCTGCAACATTTGCCATAAATGAATGCTTCTATTATCTGCAACAAAATTTTTTCTTTCCTTTTTTAGTAAATTTTAAAGAGTAAATTGACCACCTTACCCTTACTTTATTTTTAAAACTTTGTTTAACATCTAATAATTACACTTACTTACTACCACCTTACCCAGCCACTACGCCGCCCCTACCTGCTACCACCAGCCCAGAGCACCACCCACACCGCGACTGTACCCCATCGCAACGCCAATCTCCGACCAGACCCTAGATCACCGCCCCATTCTCCGACTAGACCCCACCGCACACTAGACCGCCGCACCATAATACGCACCCTAGATCGGCCACATCCTAGATCGCCGCACCCTAGATCGACCACACCCTAGATTGCCGCACCATTTTCCGTCGCCACTACTCCACCACAACCACTAATCTGAATTCGTGGATTTTAGGGGGTTTAAGTTCGTGGGATTTGTGGTGGGTTTCGTGGCTAGACCTGGGGTCGTGGGTTGGGCGGTGGGTTTCGATTCAAGATCTGGGGTCGTGGGTTTCGTGGTGGGTGTCAGTGGCCTAAGTTCGTGGGGCTGGTTCGTGAGTGGGGGTTGCGTGAATGGGGGAATGCGTGGTGGTTTCGATGGTCTGAGTTCGGTGGTTTTGCGTTCGTGAGTGGGGGTCGCGTGGTGGTTTCGGTGGTCTGAGGTCGGCGGTTCTGCGTTAGTGGTGGGGGTTGTGTGGGTGCCGGTGTTTCGTGGGGTGGCGTGGTGGTTCTAGGTCATTGATGGTGGTTGCGTGGGTGTGGGTGTTGGATTAATTATCCCTTCCCTCTCCTTCTAATTTTCAATAATCATGCTTAAGAAGTTTTGCCTAGGAGTCCGTAAAAAGTACAAATGGTGCAGATAACTGTTTGCGGAGGGAGTATAAATCACAACACCAAGTCAAAGTTGAGTTTGTAAATAGTGTCAAAAGTCAAAACATGTCAACAACTGTGGAACATATGATTTTAATCATTTTGTTATTTATTGAAAAATATGACTAAATGAGAATGTGTGATGTGGAAGGTGAGAAATCTCAACCTCTCCCCCCCCCCCCCCCCCACCAAATAAAAAAAGCAATAGAAAATCTATTACAGCTAAAGTTTTTCTCATTTGTGCTGAACATCTAGAGAAGAAAAAAAGGTCAAATGTACTTTATTGATAAAGAAATAATTCACCTGAAAATGTCTCAACGATGGAAAAGGCACTGGAAAATGTGTACGTCTGTACAATCAACAAAAGTTTTAAGAGCTCATACACAGAATAAAGGCAAGTTGTAACACAAAGTTTTAGAAATAGCAAACCTGAGAGTCAATGCTTAGGAAATCCCATACATCAATCGATCCTGAAATAGTTGGAAGCTGCATGAGCTTCTGAGGAACAAGCAAAAACATGAAAGAGTTACTACAAAATTAAACGAAGAAAAAGATTAGAAATAAAGTGATTTAGCAAGAGGAGATTAAATAAAGAGACAGTGTGACGCTAGTCCTCGGTAAACTATTGCTCGAAACATGTAGGCATAGTCGCAGATAGTGTGCTGCAACAACCAGCATGATGACATTGTATTACATAGCAATCAGCTAGGTAAGCTACTCCAACAAACCAAGTAACAAATCTGAGTAATCAATCTATGCAATAAACTCCAACCTAATGATAATATTATGAATGGCAGAAGAACACAAGAAAAAAGGTACAGGAGGAAAGAGCACAAAACCTTCAGATACTGATCAAGCAATTTACAGCGTTCTTGAATTACAAGCACATCAAGACCAGTTGACAGAAAATGTTTCGGCGGCAAATGAAGATTATACTCTGGATATTCTTTCAAACGTCGATGTAGCTCCTCAAAATGTCGATATCTATCAAAGGCAAACTATTTTAGCTAATGAAAGGAGTTGCAAAGTTGACAATGACACAATCCAAAGTATTAAGTACCTTCTTTTGATCGACCAACTGTTTCTTTCAGCATCTATGACTGATATGGAATATACAGCAAAGGTTTTGGAGCTACTTGTAACAATATTTGCACCCAAAACCTGTAAAGAATGCATAGCCATCAAAAAGTATATACATTAATATTTATAATTCCCTAAAAAGAAGCCGGTGATCACCATAAATACCTCACATCTCAGCTTGAAAAATGTATCACCTAAGAATGCAGTTTGTGAGGAGCTAACAGATGATGTAAAGCTTCCAGGTAATAATGAAGCAGACGAAGAAGCAGTAGTTCCGCTCTGAAGTCTACCCATAATCTCCATGTCATAATCATCACTAGAGTCATCATCTTTCTCGTTAGGTTTCAAAGGATGTACATCTTGTCCATCTCCTGGTAAGAAGCTTGTCCTCTCAACCTCTTGCCACAATGGCACCTTTTGACTGCCTAATCTAGACCTTTTCCGACCACTTTGTTGTCTATGCAATTTTTGGTGCTGCCTTCTATTACCCTTTCCCTTCTTTCCCTCTAATCCCTCGAGTGGATGGTGAATATGAGAGACACCGGAACTCCTATTAGTTCTACCATCCCATACTTTGGTGGTTGGAGAATCTAGACCCGTGACTCTATTTTCTTCATCACCTGAGGAACTTTGACTACTGCTTAGCATATCTGTCTCGTCTAAAGACATGTTGTGCTCATCACCTTCATCAGATGTAAGAGGAGGTGGAGTCAACATGTTACTATCAGCATGGATGTACATGGTTTCAGACTGGGGCCTCATACTGGAAACAGGAAGAATATTACCTCTCTCTGCAGATGCAATATTCCGTCCACTTTCCTTCTGTCTTGCAAAGGCTTTTGAAGAATTAACTGCATCAGATCTCCTTATCAAAGACTCTGGATGAACATGATTCACTGTTTGAGTGTCTTTACCATTGTAATCTCTCCCTTTTGACCACATATTTTCAAAATGTTCAGGAGCAAGAGCCTGTTTCTTCTTGCGAGAGAAATAATCCAACATATCACCCCATTCACCTCCAGAGCTTGATCGATCATTATGATTACCAGCAGCAGCTGTAGAGCCTAAAGGCAGAGAACTCCAAGAACGGGTAGATCGAGTATCAACTGACAGTAAAGGATCCTTAGAAGCATCTTCACTATGCACCTTCTCTCTGTCAAGTTTATCCATAGACTTTGTAGACTGGCTGCTCTTAAGCTGAACAAGTTCAACACCCGAGACAGATGGATCTGGAAACGGAGAAAAGTCATCAGAAGTACCTCCATTTTGCTTTGATAGCGAAGAATTATTTGTTGATGCAGCTTCTCCATTTTTCTTTCTCGCAGATATCACTACTTGTTCAATTCTTTCATTAATGAATCTACAACAGCATCAAGAAAAAAAAAACAAAATTAAGTAAGAATATGACCATAACATCAACAAACAATACAGTGCAGATCCGGCAAAAGAGATGTTTGTGAGAGATTGATACACATCGCTGGAACACAAACCAGAAATCCTCATATAAACAAAAACAAAACACATAATACAATCTTCAAACTGCTCAATTCCTTCAGTACCTTGGGTTGGCCAGATTCAACACTGGTCGAAACACAGCACAAGCAAGAAGCTCTCGAGAAACAAAACGGAAGAAAGAACACTGCAGATCCTCAGGTTTGAAAGTAAGAGATAAAAGCCCATCCATTATGTGCTGCAAAACCTGTTCATATAATATATTTATTTAATTCATGTGGCAAATCATATTTGACCCCAAAGCCAGCACAAATTATAAATAAATTTCAATTTTAGAAGATAAACAAAAGACTAGTGTCATGCAAGAAAGAGAAAAACAATAGCAGGACAGCTTTCCCTCCCAACCCCCCAACACACTCCACAAAAAGAATGTATATTTGCACAATGCCCCCCAATCCCACGATAATCAGCAACAGACAATCCCTTAAAATTCTAGCTGCACATGCCTACAAAATTTTTAAATAATTAAGAGTTTGGTAGGAAATTAATTTCAAAATCCTTTCCTACGCTGCAAAACCAGTTATATGATATATTTTTTAAATACATATGGCAAACTCGAGATGCATATTTGATCCCAAGCCCCACCCCCCAAATTATGAACAAATTTCAACTTTAAAAAATAAACAAAAGACTTGTGTCCCGCAAGAAAGATAATACAATAGCAAGACAACATCTCCTCCCTCCCCCCCCCCCCCAAAACAAAAAAGATTTTATATTTACACAATGCCCCCCAATTAATGAGTTTTGTAGGAAATCAATTTCTTAGTCCTTATGCAATGGGACAGTTGGGCATATATTTTTGAGTATACTAAGGCAGTGCCATTTCTCTCTAGTCTCCAGCTATTTAAGTAACATATATAAAAGAAAGTTTTATTAATGGGGAGTATTGAATGACTATTCATATTGTTGCTGTTGTACAAGAGAATTTTCACATTGTTAAGGCTTACAAGAATAGAAGGATACAGCATAACATGGTAATTCATACTACATGACTCAAATCTGCCCTCAAGAATATCTATCCCAGCTCTAATCTCTCAACTTCTCTTTTTTCACCCATTAGGAATTTTCTTTCACTTCATCATGTATAAGTTACAATTAATAAAGTGTAAAAATTGCAAAAATTTAATTACTATCTTTTCCCATCCCTTATCTGCACACTACTTTAGATCCATGGCTATAATTATGAAAGTATAGAGTTTTTTTAGGTAAGACCCAATCTCAACAAGATTTCATTATAAGAAATAAATACTATAGTAATATCTAAAAGAGTGAATAGTAAAAAGAATAGGACAAGCTGTACTCTAAACAAAATGTTAGGGTGCTGATATTTCCAAGGTGAAAAAGATCACTTCAAAGACAAATTATCTACCTACTGCCCATAATATTTGAGAATCTAAATATGTCAAACTATTTGATTCAGTGAAATAATTTGTTGCCTATAATGTTAGTAGCTAAATATTCCAATTAAAATCTTTCCAACTCCAACTACTATTCTCATCAAAATCTGCAATATATATTATTCACCATCATAGACTTGTCCCAATTTGAAATAGTAGAAGCATCATTGAAACGTTTTAAGTATCAAGTGCCTATACATGAGTCAAATAATTTTTATCCAACCCATGATGAATAGGCACTAAATTCAATTGATCTTAATGCTGCTGTTTGGCTAGATAATTTGTTCTTCATTTCTTATCATGTAAGTGGCTTTATACTCCTTTAGTTATTAATTTATTATTAGTTTTAATGATATACTCTTTTAGTTTGACATTAACATTTGACTAAGTACTGCTTCGTACATCTTTTGGCATTATGCATATGAATCGTATAATATAGAACTCCTCGGACATACACTAAATTTCTCCAGAGAATAATGACTAGTTATGTTTATCATCTGCTATTTTTTAAACCTTAATAATTTAAACTTTGATTTTTTTCCCATCTTCAGTTGATTAATGATCCAATGCATTTTGTTTTTCTTTTAAAAAATAATATATGTTGGACCGTATATATATATTTTTGTAGCAGTTGGAAGTTTTGGTTTTATAACCATAGCAATCATCATATTTTTTATCAAGTTTTGATACTCGTATTGATTATTAGAATGCATATGTGCATACATTTAGAAATTTAGTATATGCGGAGAAGCAGATCATTTGCTGATTTGGTGTATGCAGGAATCAAGTAATTAAGTTGTTATTGGCAACAAAATATTATTAGAAGATAACAAAGTATTTCATCGAATTAAATAGTTTGACATATTTAGATTCTCACAGATTACGGGCAGCATATACATACTTTCCTTTGGAAGTGATTTTTTTGCCTCGGCAATAACAGCACCCAAAAATTTAAGTAAAGATGAACCCGATTTCTTTGAACTTGCCTAATCGAATGTGTCTTGAAATCCCCAGCCACCTAGCCCATGACGACACTATATAAGTGACTCTATCTCACAACAAATCAAAAGAAAAGGAAACTTTTGAAAGGACCTGTGAGATTCCAACCACACACACTACAGAATTGTCATGAAAGCATTGTGCCACAACTACTTCTTATCCTTACCCTTACAAAACTCTAGAAACAAATCTGCAGCAGACAGCAAAACCATAACCTCTAAAGGGTAAACACAAAATTCCTCGAGCAATACAAACAACCTCCTCTATAAGTTATCCGCCATTTCAGTATAATAAATTTGTTAGCAAAACTCACTATTAACACATTAAGTCAGGCAGATAACCAATAGAGTAAAATAACAAATATTGGCAATTGCTATTAAAGCATGGCATCAGTGTAAGCCTTCAAAACACTAAAGTCCACTAAAGGATTGTACACCTGGGAAACAACCTCTTAGGGACAACCATATGTCACTCTAGGAGAGCTTTGAGCATCTGACCATTTAGATGCAGCCAATTTTGTTCAGAATGACTTGATGTCAAAGGGACATTGATTATTGAGGAAACTGCAACAGCTTTGACAGCACTTTCCCAAAGCCTAGAACTCCTCCTACAGCCCAAAACACCAGATCCCAACTCACAAGATAGTCTTTGAAATTAAAACTCAGCAGTTTCAAATTAGCACCGCAACAAAATCTTCCTCCTCGTGTCATCTATTAAATAATGGTGACTCGCCGTATCATCACAAGTTCAATGTTACATCTATTATTTTGCCAGATTGGCCAAAACGTTTTGCTAATATATTATAAAGTTTATGAAGCATGATGTTTTGAAAAATTAATGTTGAAAAAAATGCAAGAAGATTAAGTCCATCAATGCAAATGCTTCGAAGAATTTCATACCGTGTTAGCCACGATCCATTCTATTTCTAGCCATCTGCTACAACCCGTATGTATTACAACACAACCGATATTGAGTTCAGCAATGTTAGTTGTCGACAAGATAAGGTTTGTTTGCATAGATAGTAAATTATCACATTATGTGAATCTTTTTTGGATAATTTGGTACCAGATATATACATACATCACTGAGAAGAGTACCTTATGTTCAGACTCAGTAGAGAATAAAAGTGGATGTAATTTATCCTCAGATGCCATGACTAGTTTTAGCTCCATATCCCGTTGATTAAAAGAAAGTGACGCCAAGTTTTTCTTAATCTTTGCTTGGCATACACGAAAAAGCTCCAGATGCTTACAGATCAGGTGGATTACATCCCTGCAACATAATATTATATTATTTGCAGTTTATTATTGAAATTTACGGACATGAATACATAAAGTGTTGATGCAAGTAAATACCTCATCAGAAGATCAATGAGATTAATATGTTTCATGCGGTATGCAATTTCTCCTAAAACGCCGTTCATTAATTGCACAAGTTCCTCTGGACCATCCCGATCAGGGGTTAGTTTAGAATACCAGAGATCTGTGACCCATTCAGAAACTATATGTCTAGTAAATTGGTCAATTGCATCCTCAACAGGAAGGGAATTAACTTTCCCTCTCCATTGATCCTTCTTCACAGCAGGTTTAGGTACATCAAGAAGCTTCTCCTGGATTGTACTCTTTTCAGCATTCCTGTTATTGTAAGCTGCCTCTTTTCTCCGAGACTCAAAATCCAATGAAAAATAGCGGAAGATAATGACTAGGACAGCCGCAGCAGGCAGGTTCACCCAAACTGAGGTGCTTGTCACTTCATTAAGAATGCAAAACAATTAATAGCAGAATATAAGTGTGCTTAAATACATAGCAATGACATGAAGATTTAATCAACTTTGCTAATTAGTAACAGCAATAACATTTAAGCTTCCAGCATCCACTACGAAGTTCTTCATTAAGAACTAGGTTAGTCATCTGTACAAGTGTTGTGACTGATACATTATGTACACATCCAAATGTCAGATATGTCAAGGTTTAAATTATGGGTGCGGGGATTGGGGACCCTATCCTAGAATTGGACAAGAGATATGAAATATACTATTGATTAAATAGATTTTTGCATGTTCTTTCACATCATATTCACAATTGCATGAATACATATTATAGATTTACTTACATGCTAATTTTGAATGAGCTCTTATCACAAGCACTCTTCTGGCACATATCACATGATTTTTTTTATTTTTTATTTTTTTGCTTTCCCTCTTTCCTTGCAATTTTAGTACACAAATATGTGGATCAGGATAAGTGAGGTATCACAATGGAATTTAAAGTGTTAGATAAAAGGATTTATCAAATGAAAACCTCTCCAAAGCTCAAAAAACTAAGCATTTACCAGTGAGTGAAATCAGCTTTTTAAGTTACTTCCATAGTGTCAAATCTCATAAGCACCACTTTTGGTTCAAAGACATCCCAGTAGATAAAAGCCTAAATATTAAACTACTATTACTCAAGGAAGAGTGTCATCAACTTGTATTATTAGAAAAAACTTATTTCAAACAACTTATCAACAAAAATTCCTTGAAAGATAAAATATAATTATGAGTTTTCCAAACACACGTAAGATGGGTTTTGCTGGCAGTGGAGTAGAAAAGGGTAAATCTCCATAGAAGAAGAGAGGGGGGGGGGGAACCTCTCTCTTGCTGTATACATGAGAGAGCAACTAAATAAAATTGATCTCATTCTGGTGAGACATGACAAAAGTTTACAACCATCCGTGAACATATAGCAAAAATGAACAACTTGGATACTTATAAACAGAAATAAAGGAAAACGTCGTATCATAAATAGGCACGAAGCTTTGTAAAATCAATTTTGAACATATTTGGGCGTCACAAAAAAAAAAAGAGAGAGGATATGGAAAAAAAAAAATACGTATATGAAGCTTTTTTGAGAACATAGAGTATGCCATTGTATTTCAATATTGAGTAGCTAGGAAATTTTTGTTAGGACAATATTGCATGCGATATTAAGTAAGAAATTAGTATTAATAGGAAAGTATTAAACTTGATCTACAATATACGCCAAGCAAGATTATGGAGTAATATGTATAAATCACTAGTTATATTAAAATTACAGAATCCAAATTTAAGTAATTATATACTTGTATCTACATTATTAAAAGCAGCTTGAATTATGGCTTCAAAACAATAATCTTATGAAATATACTCATGTTACTTACAGAACCAATAAAAAGGATATGGAACATATGGTAACAATCTACATATGTATTCTTATTCTTCATTTCTTTAGACAGTGTATACAAAATGGCACCTAGGATATATACTTAAAGTTAATAGTTGAATGAGACAACTATACACTATATCCTTGTTTGCATATAGATGCACCATTCTGACTTTTACGTTTGCCAATGCACAACTTGACCTTTAATATTCCATGAATTTAATTATATGTTTGTAATTTGTAAAAGTAGTAGTTTTTCGTGAATAGATATTAAGACCAATCAAAATACTCCGTACCTTTCTATATAATAATCTTAAATAGTGCAGCTTTTTCTTTTCTTTTTTTTTTTTTTTTTTGACAAGATGGTGCAACTATGTTAAACGGAGTAATAATCAGCACAGCAGCACTTAGTAACCTAACATAACTTTGGAAAAAACCAATTTCATTTAACACTCAATAGTTGAACTATAATCACTAAAAAAAAAAAACACTACCATAACTATGAACCTCAACAACCAAACACTATTTTTTCCTTCAACTCGTGCATCACACATATTTAGAAGCTAGTCTTGCTACATGTAAAAGGAATGAGAAAGATATGGTCAATCACATACCTTGAAAAAAGCATCAACATAGCATAAAAACAATTATATGTTCAAATATGTCACATTAGGAAGCAACAAAAAAGTTTGCTCGGTATCCTAAAGCTATTCAAGAATTCAATAAGTGATAAAAAGAATACCATAAAAATAATACAATCTTAAGTTGCATAGACTCACCATAAGAATCAAACTTCTTAGAAGCATCCAACAGAAATTAGTCAATTTTTTTTTTTCCTATCTGAAAATTCCTATTATGTATCAGTAAATCAATTTATATACTCTAGTATCCACGTCCATGAACGATAACACGTAAAAGTATAGAAGGAAAATTCGAAAGATACAACCATCATATAACACAATAAACACATTAAATGCCCAATTAATGATAAATGGAGCAAATCATTTAACATAAACTCTATTGAACATAAAAATTAAATATCTTGCTTCCCGCAATCCATGATTTTATATTGTAAAGGCTTATCTTATCACTATTTCCAAACTATAAAGTAACGTTTCTCCGTCTCAAATGATTTTCTCCCGGGTATTTCAATTCTACCCGAAACCAATTCTAGTCACAACTAATACACCTTTAAAATTGGAATGAGATTTTCATAATCCGCGAAATATTTAATTAAATAATTTGTATTTCATTCCATCATATCACAAAATATGCACTATTCTCAAATTACTTGTCAACTTTGATCACCGATGCAATAACTCACAACACGTTTTCCTTCCAAATATCTCCAACAATGGAGGGATTCGGTTTATTAAAGGGGAAAGATTATGGATCCTTCCATTTCCCTCCCCGTTCCTCCTTGCATTAAGAATCCAAACAAAAAAATGGTGTATCCTTCTTTTTCACCGATGCAATAACTCACAACATGTTTTCCTTCCAAATCTCTCCAACAAGGGAGGGATTCAAAGGGGAAGATAATTGGTCCTTCCATTTCCCTCCTTGCATTAAGTATCCAAACAAAGGATGGTGTATCCTTCCTTTTCTCTTCTCTTCTCTTCTATTCCTTTTCCCCCAATTGTCTCTATCGAAACATAGTGTAAAATGCAATCATACATAAAATGCACGAAGTATAAGCAGTATAATCCTAAACCCGAAACGAATTACAATCACGGTAGTGTCCCAAACTCCGAACACACAAGTAATACATAGAAGTAACATTAAAAGCGACAATTACTCAACAAAATCAAGCAAACAAAAATCAGTAGAAGCTAATCGAAAGCGAAAAAACTCTGGAAATAGCAAAGATTGAGTGAACTTACAGGACATGAGGTAAGAAAGACCAACAACACATATCGAAAGAATGACAATTCGCTTCTTAGCTTCTTCAACCAAGTCACGAGTAGTCACCAACCGCCTCTGCGACTGCGAACTCATTTCCACTCCTAATTTACCATTCCAATCTCAATTGAATTCTACAAACATCTTTCAACTCAATCAACAATTCATACTAGAATCCAAAATTAGCAAAATGCTGGAAATTTCAAGAAATTTACTCATAATCAGCAGAAATTGATCAGCAAAAACATGAAGATCAATTGAAAATTGCTGACAAAAATTGAAACTAGGGTAAAAGCGATGAAATCGAAGAATTACTAGGGAAGAATAAGCAAATTTGGGAGAATTTTGAGAAATTGATGATCCAATTAAACGCGCGGAATGTTAGGTTTGGAGAATTTCTCTCTCTTAATTGAGTGTGAAAGTTACGAAATGGGGAATTTGGCTAGAAATTTCAACTACCCAGTGTGTTCTGTATTCATATATTAATTTATTTTTTTGACACAATCATATATTAATATATATGTGCACCAGATTTTATTTTTTATTTTTTCTTTTTTCTGGACTATGAAGGTCCAATATGTGTCAATGGAGTTCAGACTTTTTTTTTTTTTTAAGATCAATTTTGTTCCACTAGGTTTTTAGTGTGGGCTAGCCATGCCATGGGAGAGGTGTCAATTCGGATACACAGGTTGGATTTGAATTGAGTTAGTTTGGGTTGGGCAGTGGTGATTCTAGTATGGGTATACTAGATCTGGAAAAAAACGAATAGATTTTCTGTTAAAAAAAAATAATAATAATTTATAAAGGGTTAAATATTAAATTATGCACATAAATACAATACACGACATGTGGACTGCTGGTTAGAGCATTACTTTTAAGGAGAAAAGTCAGTGGTTCGAAACCCACAAACCCCATCACCCTCACAGTCTAATTATATTTTTAGTTATACTGTTAATTGAAGATTATATTTTGGAATTGTGTTTTATAGTTTGGAGATGAAAGGATTAGAGTATTTTTGGAAAGAACGTGTGTCAAAATCGCAAAAATCGTAGAAAGTCGAGTTTAATTGTAATTTTGTTAAACTTTTTATTGTTTTTTTTATTATTGTTGTTGTACATGACATATATTGTGCACACCCGAATTAGCAAATGCAAATTTTATTTTGAATTATATGATACTATTTGATGTCCGGTATTTGCTTGGAGAGTCCGAACCCATAACAAGCAATTCCTGGAATCGCCACTGGGGTCGGGCCAACTTGGGTTAATATCGTAATCTATGCAGGTTGCGTTCGAGTTAGGTCATGCTTGAGTCGATTACGGTCATACATCTTGTCGGGTTTAAGCCGGGTCAGTAACAGGTCTAGTTACATTTGGGTCGAGTGAATAATAGGTCAGGTTTGATTTAGGTTAAAAATTTAAAATGAGTTAGGGCTATTCTAGGGTTCGAGTCGGGTTCGAGTCGGGTTCGGTTCGGGTTCGGTTCAGGTCAATAATTTGCGAGTTATATTCAGGTCGAGTCATTTCCAAGTCATACAGTGTGATAACATTTCACTAATGTAGAGTATAAGGGCTTGTTTTCATCATGTTATATTCACTTCAGCTCAGTTCTTATTTTAATTTTCTAATAAAATATTCAGTTCAGTTTATGCATCATGTTTGTTTAGAGGAATAAAATGAAAGATACATGGATTATATATATAGCAGGATGGAACAAGGATTATAAAAAATAAAAAAAATAAAACCCTCGTCTATTAAATTCTATATCCAGGGGGAGGGATAGAGAGTTGGAGACTACTCCCTCCGTTTCGCATTAGTTTAACTCATAGTTTACAAAAATTATAGACTAGGATTATAATATGAAGTATTGCTTGTAAGAAATAATTAGGGGTGAAAGTTCGGTTTTCGGTTTGGTTTATGGCCCAAACCGAAACCGAACCACTCTAATTCGGTTTCGCGATTTTAGAAACCAAACCACACCACTTTACTTAAGAAACTGAACCAAACCAAACCGAATAAATTTCGGTTTCAAAACAAAAAACCGAACCACACCGAATTGTTTTTGGGCCTTGTTTTTTTGGGCTTTATTCTGCTATTTTTGATATCTTAAAGCCTTAAACAGCAAGGAGCATGTAAATAGAGCATGTAATACATTAATAGCAAGGGCTTAAACAGCATAATAGATTAATAGCAACCTGAACATGTAAATAAAGCAAGGCAGACAGGCAGTAGGCCCATTAGCAATGCATGTCAAGTTGTCAACAACTCAACATCACAACATTCACAAGTCACAACATACAACATTAAAAGTTCTAATTCAAAGTTCTAACTCCTAAGAATTCAACACTTCATCCAAAAAAAAAAAAGTGTTCAACATTACAACTACAGCAGTAGCATAACAATATCAACAGCAACATCATAAGATTCAGCAGCAGCATAGAGGGAAAATCAGCAGCAGCAGTGATTAGGGGATTTTGCTCCCGCCAATCGGAATGCGCCACGTGTACCAATCAGGTCCTGCCAAGTGTCCCCCAGTTGGAACAGTCAGGGCTTCCCACGTGGCACGCGCTTATTCGTCCACCTTGGACCTGTTATGTCAAGACATGTGGCATACTCCATGCCTAATGGAGAAACCGGCCACCCAGGCCCAACTTCCGAGGGAAGCCCAATCGGCCCTAGGTTTACCTAAACCTAGGATGGGCACGTTTTCCACGGTTATAAATACCTCCCTTAATCCTCATTAAGAAGAAAAAACAGAAACATTACGGAAAAAACACATTAATTACACACAGTAATAACCGGCTAATCTCGCTAACAAAGCAGATTACCTACATTAAACACTCTCACCTAGAGAGACCAAATCACTTTAATTTCCGCATTAATTACTCCTTAATCAGGTACTAACTTGACCGTTGGAGGCGGAGCTCCCAGGAGTCTCCGTTATTTTGCAGGTACAGGCGTCCGGTTCCAGTCTCGGAATTGTAACTCTCCCGCAGGACATTAGAAAACCCCGAAACATTTGGCGCCGTCTGTGGGGAGAGTACTTCTGAGATGGCATCCAAGTCTGTACCGACTCCTGAAGAGAGGCGTCCCCTAGACGACCCTCAAGTTCAGTCGGACCATGATACCGAAAGTGAATTTGAAGTTGAAGCTCATACAGCTTCAGACGGGACCCTAAGGGCCCGACGTACCCGTCATACCGAAAGGAGGGAACAGGAGCATCTTCAAACAGGAAGCGAGCCAGCAGGCGCACCGCCTGTTCGGCAACAGCCGACTGATGGGTCTGCTCCCATCACAAGGAACGAACTCATGACCTTCATGAGGGACTTCAAGGGAGAGATTCAAGAGTTGATCAACAAGAAGCCGCCTGCTCCAGTCAAGGAGCAGTCGGCCAAGAAACCCTCCACTTCACTGAAGAGGAAGCCAGTTCAAGGGCGAGAGGCAACTCCTCATCCTAAATCTAGGAAGCGGGAGCCACCTGCCCTTGATTTCACAAAATTCCGTTATCCTACAGGAAATAGGAAACATGTTCGTCATATTCAGGCGGACGGGTCGAAGCAAACATTCACAGATGCTCGGCTACTGCTAGAGCAGAAGAAGAGTGACCGATTGTCAGAGTCGGCCTCTACTTCAAACTTTCAAGACAGTTTGCGAAATGCCTCGATGAGGCATACTCAGTCGTACCATGAGAGTCAGTCAGGCGGCACCTCCCGTCAGTCCGGCTTTCATAGTGACCAGGCGGTACCAAACTTACCATTTGTGCCGCAACAACAGTATTTTTTGCAGCCACCTCCGTTTGGTGGACCTGCAGCAAAAAACGTCCAACCTATGGACTGGCAGCTACGGTTGGTTAGACTTGGTGAACAGCCGTCGGCCTTCTCCAAGGAAATTACTGAAGCCGCTCAGCCGGCCAAAGTGAAAAATGTACTAGTAGGCGCCTATGACGGCACTACTAACCCAGAAGACCATCTGATGGCATTCACCAACCTGATGTACCTTCAAGGGTTGGATGATCCCACTTGGTGCAAGTGTTTCCCAGCGACTCTCAAAGGAATCGCACAGCAATGGTTCGGCAACCTGCCGACTGGTTGTGTAAATAGCTTCAGGACGCTTGCTTACTTATTTGCCTCCAACTTCGCCATGAACATCCCTGCGAAGAAAACGACCCTTGATTTGGGAACAATTCAGCAGGGCGAGAAGGAGGGGCTTCGTTCTTACATCAGGCGGTTTAACCTGATGAGAATACAGATTCAAGGGTTACCGGATGAGGTAGCTTATACTGACTTTTTCAGAGGTCTCAAAGACGGGTCTACCTTCAAATTTGATTTGGTTCGAAAAAGGGTGGCGACTCTTCAAGAGGCCTTGATTGAAGCAGAAGCCTATATACAGGCGACTGATCTTTGTACGATAAAACAGTCGGACGGGAAAAGGTTCGACAAAAGAGAAGGACGACAGAAACAGTCGTCTAACAAAGATGAGAAAAGAAAAGAGGTCTGGGCGGCTGATTCCTCTAAACAGCCGGCCCAGAAAAAGAAAAAAGAATTCAAACCATACTCCCCAAAGTATGCGTTTAACAAGGATAACCAGTTTATCCTAAAAGAAATCAAGGGACGGATCTCAATTGAGAAGCCGGTCCCCATGAAGGGTTCTGCAAACAACCGGAACCAAGATAAATTCTGTGCTTATCATGATGATGTTGGTCATCACACCAATGACTGCATCAGTCTCATGCGGTACCTAGACCGCCTGGCTGAGCAAGGTGATCTTGACACTTATGTCAAGAAATCTACGGGGAACACTTCCTCAAAAAAGCAGTCGGCCAAAAAGAATCAGCAGGCCGACAGCTCTGATACAGATGATGCAGTCGTCTACACCATTGCAGGCGGCTTCTCAGGAGGCGGCCCCACTATTAGGGGCAACAAAGACAATATCAGGCGGTTAGATGTAAATTCCGTTCACCAAGAACGGCCGTCTAAATATTCATTTCCTGAGATTGTCATCACTGAAGAAGATCTAGGAGGGGTAAGGGGGCCGCATGACGACCCTCTCGTTATTGAATGTAAAGTGGCCAACCAGAGAGTTGGCCGAATCCTCATAGATACCGGAAGCTCCTCAGATCTCATCAGTACCAAATGTCTGTTGAAACTAAAATATCAGACTGATTGCATACATCCAGCCTCCCACCCTTTAGTAGGGTTTGGAGGAGGAGTCGTCCACCCACTGGGACGAGTAGATTTACCCATCCGCTTGGGCGAAAAAGGGGAAGGACGACACATGGTAGTCCGGTTCCTGGTAGTAGAGGAACTCTCGGCCTACAACATGATTCTGGGTCGACCTACCCTGAATAATTCCAAGGCTGTTATAATCCCATCTCTTATGTTGCTCAATTTTGAGAGGGATAATGGAACAGTCGGCTCCCTAAGGGGAGATCAGAGGATGGCCCGAGAGTGCTATCTCTCGGATGTCAAGCCCACTGTTATGGCTACTGGGTCAAGCGGCGAAAAAACAGACCTTGACAAGGAGAGTGCGCCTGTTCAAGAAGCAGGCGGCAAAAAGAGAAAGACATCCCAGACAGGGGCTGCAAGAAAAGAAAGAAAATAGCAATCATTGGCAGAGGAGCGGCCGGATGAGTTCCGCCCTCAGCCGGCTGGTGAGCATGCGGACCTGATCTTAGACGACTCACGTCCTGACCGAACAGTCAAAGTTGGGACGACTGCTCTGAGAAACCTTGGTGACAACTTTCACAAACTATTGAAAGAATACAAGGACATCTTTGCATTCGAAGTCCATGAAATGCCAGGCATTAGTCCTGATCTGGCGGTACATAAACTGGCCGTGGATCCAAAAAAGAAGCCAGTACGGCAAAAGAAGCGGAACCATGGCGAAGAAAGAAGTC